CTGAGGCTTCAAGAGAAGTTAGGAATACAGTTATTCAGGTTTAACTCCTCTGTTGCACTCAGGCCAACGTACAGCACTCCCAGSCACGCTTCTAACAACAAATGGGAGACCAAGACTCTTGTTCACCCCTTCATCTCTAACTGCGAACAACCAACATGTGGCTAGAGAACTGTGGGCACCGCACCAGGGCCCGCTGCGAAGGCCTGCCTGCCCTGCCTCCGACCTACAGCCATTACAGCAGCTCTCACTCACTCCACAGGGACTTCTGATCTATGAACTTCACTAARCATACTGCACAAGCAAATCTTTGGAAATGCTTTTCAATTGTTTCAGTAATGAACTCAGTGGCAGTACATCAAAGCAGTCACTAGCAGGAAAACATACTTTATTCTTGAAATTCCTGACATGGGGAAGCATCGAGCTAGGAAGCTCAACAATACAATCTGTCAGCAGAGCAAGGGGCTTCATTAGAGAGTTCCCTGATCCCTTGAGTACTTTATTTCCTTATGCTTGAAATGGAACAGGTTTACTTCAAGCTCTGAAACCCTCTTTAAACCTTGTCAAGCTATGCATGGGGGTACTTTCTGCTGCATTTACTCTTCTCTGACAAAATTGCATGTATTTTTTGCTACTTTCTTCATGGACCACGTTCTGTCTCTTTGTCTCCTTCCTTACATTTCCAGAAAAGTTAATACTAGTATATCATACTAGGTATCATATATCACGTTTTTTTTTGTTTTGTTTTATTAGTATATGCCTCCATCAGCTGTCAAATTAATTTGTCTTCCTGTGTTCTCATTTTACTTAATGGTGAGCAGATGTTAAGCACAAGAATTTGCCAACATTTCACAGAACCAAAATACTTCAGATACCAAGTTCACGTCTTATTACACATCTTCACACTATTGATTTCCTCCAGGCTGCCAGAATGCCAGAACAACAAATGCCTGTTTTAAGCGCTGCTCACTCATCTGCTGATGTACAAATCACACTAATGATGTTGAAACACATGCTTCAAAAGCAAAGCTCTCCTGCGCTCCCTTCAGCGAACTCTTCTTCACACATCTGGAAAGGGATGACTACGAAGCTAAACGTTGAAAACAAAATCAGCAGTGTTCACAATTACTCGAAGATACAAGTTATCGTTCTGTTCAACTGTAGGATCACATCATCCCTAACTACTGCAGGGCTTACAGTAACTAACTTACCATTGTATTCAAGTACCCATTTTGGACAAAAACCATGCTTTGCCCTGATAAAGATACTCTTTCCAGCAAAACTAATTAGTTAGAGCTGCAACTTTTAGTTATAACTGCATTTCTATTAAAGGCTTCTCCCAGTAAGAATGGCCATTCAAAAAATCAACACTTTCCTGCTCAGTTGATTGAGAGAGAGGGCCCAGCAAAAGCAATTCATCTACAAGCCTGCTGTCAAGAAGGCAGAGCAGGCAAAGCCCAATCCAAACACGCATATACTTTCACAGAAGCTGCATACCCCTACTTTCACCAAAGCAAACAAAAATGAGCTTCTGTTTAAGTACAGCAGACGCAATGAAACAGGACTTACATCATACCAACAGGCTGCCTCAGTAGAGAGCATCCCTGGAAGGAAGGGAGAGGGAGAGGGAGAGGGAGAGGGAGAGGGAGAGGGAGAGGGAGAGGGAGAGGGAGAGGGAGAGGGAGAGGGAGAGGGAGAGGGAGAGGGAGAGGGAGAGGGAGAGGGAGAGGGAGAGGGAGAGGGAGAGGGAGAGGGAGAGGGAGAGGGAGAGGGAGAGGGAGAGGGAGAGGGAGAGGGAGAGGGAGAGGGAGAGGGAGAGGGAGAGGGAGAGGGAGAGGGAGAGCTTGGGCCATGGGGCAGCTTTTGGATGTGCCTAGCACCGTAGGGACAGTTTCCAGTTAATAAACTGCACTACATGCACTTCAGTTGAGACTAAGGCCATCTTCTAAACACAGTGAGGCTTTCATAACATCCTAGATCACAACTACTCCCACTGCCACTCACCCCACAGAACAAGAGCAGCCCAAGATTCATTTAAAAATAAAGCAAAATACCAGGAACAGCGTTTGCACTAATGCAAACTTATTTATAGGTAATGCAAACATTTATAGTAAATGATGCATAACCAAAATCGATGTTGAACTTGCCTTCATTACACTGAGGATGGATGTTGAACATGGATTTACTAAATATGTCTTTGTTATACAGAGGAGCTAAGTTTGAGTTAGCTTTAAAAAAGTTTTTGTTGTTTTCTCAAATGCTAAATGAAATCCATCAACTAGAAATTAGGTTTTTGCAGCTAGTTAAATACCTACTGATATCTCTACCATGCATATATCCATTACTTCTAACAGAAAGCCTTGCAATCAACTTATCATTCACAACTCCACTTAAGTATTTTAAGGTTGATTCACAGTCTGAGAACTACTACAAGATTAAGCAAAGCACGGCCTTATTTTAGTACACTGCCTTGCTTGCAAGACAATAACCACCTCTGCTCTTCTCTCTATAAACAGCAACCTACGCAAAAAAACAAACCTTACTTCTAAGGTCCATCTTTACAAGGACACAAAACAGTGCTTGTACTTTTGGGGATCTTTTTCCTCACAGAAATCTGAGCTCATTAACAGTTCCTGCATGAGAGATCAAGCTAAAGAGTTTCTGCAGGTAGGCCACCTTTTCCAAACTGTTTAAAAAAGTTGCAGCCGAATGTTCATCCCAGCCTAAGAACTGAACACAAGTACAATCTCCATTGTCCATTCCCTAATTCCCTTTGTATCACACAAGTTATCCAAATTCACTCAACCACTACCTGCTAGTATGAAACATTGGTCTTAACACGGCAGTCTCAGTGATGCCCATCCATTTTACAAAACTCAAACTGCTATGGAGAGAAATCTTCAATCACCAAAAAAAAAAAAAAAAAAAAACCACTACTGACATTGCAAAGTGCAGGCATTGCCAATGACTAAAGTACTGATTTCTGTAATTATTTTTAATTAAGAGAATCCCAGTTTCCTTTAAAAGGGGTTATAACAGTTTTAGCTTTGAAGCATTGAGGAATCAGAAAGAGCAGTGACCAGTGCTGATGCTCGGAGTGAAGCAGCTGTGTTGCCTCTGGAAAGGGAAAAGACAAAAGCTGGTGCCAAGGGTTGGAGGGAATGAGAAGTTCAYGCCACCTCACACTCTTCCTCCTGCCAGCAGGTACCCAGAACAGGCACTATTTACACTAGGCTCTGGATTGCTACAGAATGTCAGCAAACAAGGSCCCCTATCCCCATTCAGACACAAGGAAGGTGTCTAAGATGTTTAGTCCTGAGGATGCTGACACCTCCTCTGTGAGTGGGAAGAAATTCAGAAAGGATAACTACATTAAAACATGGGTCATTCCTAGGCTCCCAGGTGGACCTCATCCACCTTTTGCAGTTAACCAGGCCAAGGCATTTGAGGGACTGGCTTGTTCCACYTGCAGAGCAACTGGGATTACAGTAGCCCCAGCCATCCTGCGCAACTTGGGGAAAAGCAGTGACACCAGCTCTCCTGGAGAAGGGGGAATGCTTGCTCCTTAGCAAAAGGAAAGGACAGCTCCTTAGGGACAGGGGAGCAGAACTCCTCAGAGGAAGGGGGCCCTGCAAACACCTAGAGAGCACAGTAGCCATCTCCCGGGAACACCAGCCTGGGGTTAGACTCTGCTGGCTCCCAGCTCCCCTGCTAAGCCCTGCAAGCTATGCCTCAGGGCACTACAACTCTGCCAGAAATATCCCAGATTAATCCTGATTCCAGTATCAAATCCACTTAAGAGACTTAAATACCTCAAGTCCTCAACGTTACTTGCCTAGAAAAAGYAAAAGACTCTGCAAATGAGTCTTGGTCTGGTTGAAGTATTATCAAAGAAGTCAAGACATACGCAAAATTTTTAGTAACATCACTTGCCAAAGGGTAAAGGTGACAAGACAGCCAAGTTGATGCATCAAACGAAAATGGCCACAAGAGCTTTGAGTGCTAGATGCGAGTGCACAGGGCAGGATTTAGGTAAATATTCCACACTTTCTGGAAACGGCTCTCTCCCCCTGCCCTTATAAGAGGATTGCTTGTTAAACATTAGCATACGCTCATGGGGTTGGCTATTGAACTCTTCTCTTTAGTCTTCCAAATTGGATCTCTATTAAATAATAAAAAATGGACTCCGGAAACACTAAAAGACCCCCCCCCCCCCGGCCATGCGTTAACGCATCGGTCCTTCTACGGCAGAAGAGGCAGGGCTKCGCCCCTTCGCACCGTGCGACTCGAGGCAGCGCTGGGGCAGGGGCCGCCCTCGGGACCCCGCGGCCACCGCCCGCTGCCCTCAGCGCCCTGAGGCACTCCCGCGGCTCCGCTCCCGGCGCGGCCGCGGTCCCGGAGCGCCGCTCCGCGGGGCGCGGGAAGGCGGCGCTGGGAGCCGCGCGGAGCAGATTACAAGCAGTCCCGGGGGCTGTGTCAGAAGCATCGAGCAGACTCTAATAAGACGCACGCTTTTCCCCTGCAGGCACAAAGAACCAAGTCTTAAACACTTTCCCGTAAGTAGAAAGGAGCCGCGTAAGGGAAGTGCGGCGACTCCGCTTACTGCTATTCCTGACTTCCTCCCACTTCGGAATCGCACACAATTAAGCAGCTTTCCGCACGCGGCGGCGAAGCACTCGATTAATTACAGATTAGGGCCTCAGGAAACCGATGCCAGGACAGGGAACAGGCACGGCCCCCTGGCAGCATCTGCGCCCGCCCGCGCCGCCAACCCCCGCCGGGGTCCCGGCTCGCGGGCTGGGCGCGCTCCGCAGGCCCTGGGGAGCCGCAGCGGAGGTGCCCGCGCGGGGCAGCGCGGCCGCGAGCCCGGGCAGCTCCCGTCGCCTCCCCGCTGCTCCCTGGGGCGCCGGGCGGGCCGGCTCTGGGAGCCCAGGGGCACCCGCCACGAGAACCCACCCCAGGGACCCTCCTGGCGAGGGCGCGCGAGCCCGGGCACCGCTTACTTCTCGTGTTTGGTGTTCTCCTGGATGGCGCTCAGTACCGCGGCCGCCCCGGGGAAGGCGGCGGGGCCGCCCTGCTGTAGCCTGCATGTGGCCAGGTGCCGGTGATGCTCGTCCTGCAGACAGGCGTTTTCGTGGTACAACTTGGCCACTTGCTGCTCCAGCTCGTCTATCCTCCTCTTCTGCTTCTCCAGCAGCTCCTGCTGCGTCTCGATAATCTTGTTCAGCTCCTTGAGGTACTCGGCCGCCTTGCTGGGGTTCTCGGCTGGGCTCTCCATGGCTGCCGCGCACCTTCCGCCCTCTGAAAGGCAGGTGGGGGGCGCAGGTGGCGTCCAGCCCGCTCCGCTGGGAACTTAGGCGAGCGGGAAGAAATAAATAACCCGCCGGAAACCGGCCCCCCTGCGCGCTCCGCTCTTCCCCTCCTAGAGCCGCGGCCGCGCAGGCGAGTGCAGGAGCGGCGCGCAGCGGCTCCTCGCCGGGGCCGCCATTGCAGGCGCTCAGCTCCGCGCAGCGAGGGCAGGGCGGCCGCGGGCTGCGGGGCCGGGGCTGCTGCCGCCGCTGCCGCCGTCG